CTTGTCCATAATTTTTTCAGAATTTCCGGTTTCCGATTTCCGTTTTTCGGTCAAAAGATTATTGTCTAGGTGAATGTGCAAAATGAGCGTATTAGCGCTCGAATCGACATAATGGCTCCGAATAGCTGGGTTGTATTCGATCAACAGTACTATCAGATCGGTACACCGTTGCATGTGAACTGCCTGGTCACCGCTATACCCTCGGCAACGGTCACATTCATGCGTCGCAGGTATTTGCTCAAAACCTTGGTGGTTTATTTGTTTTGCTACCACGTGGATTAGCACAATGACCTTCGACCTGGCAATTACTTCAAAATATAATTGCATACTACTTTTTGTGACAAATAACCTGTACAAACATGGCCTATCGAATGTTTGTATGTTGAGAAAGTAATCGGTATGGCTAACAGTGAATGCTTTCTTCTGGAACCAAGCGAATGTTCTGTGAAAGAGGGGCTCAAGAAAGCCTGAGGAGGCAGACGCACACCCTACATTCTACATCAGAACTACGAGACTCTTTTCTAAGCATGCTGCGGGCTAGATATATTCCCCCAATAATCTTAAGTTCCCTTTGTGCCATCATTTCTGGCGCATAACGTCCACGTCAAACAAGAACGAATGTCAAGAAATCCCCAATCAACTCATTGAGCTTGCGCCACGAACATGGTTTTTCTTCAAATTCTTTATGCTTACACGACTTTTGTATAATAGTTAATGGTCTGTGATGTTGTTCAGATGTTAAGCTTGTGGGTGTGAATCATTGGAGAATTTCTTTAAGGGACTCAGTGACGTTCTACTTGTGAATTTTCCCGACGAAAACTAGTCGACTTGGCAAAAATGATGAGTGCAAAGGTTGTCGATGAGTTATGCACACGGAATTCCAGTTCCTTTTCCTGCCTTTTTAAAATACTCACGCACGGTGCTTGTGGAGGGAAGGAGGTTGGGTCAGCAGAAAACAAAAAGAAATAAACACAAAATATCAGTTAGTCAAATTACTGTCCAGCAGGGCCTCCTCTTTGCTTCTATCGTAAATCGATCTCTCCCATCCATATAATCGGATCCATCTCCGATTGAGCAGCAGAAGGCTCGCTGAATTCTTTCCGGTTTCCGAATATTGTTCACTATTCAGACCACTATCAGCAGCTCCATGGATCGATATTGACCCTGCAGAGTTGGTAGAACTGAAAGGAACGTACGAAAGTGGATATATCTGGAACACAACGGTACAAGACGATCTTGACTTGAAGTGCGAAGGTGAACGCGATGGAAAGGTGAATACTAGAGTTACAGATTGCTTCTTGATAAAAATTATGATCACTCATCTATTTATTTTCTATGAAAACCTACTTTACGTTACCGATAATCGATCTCGTTCAGACGAGCTTCGAAGTGAAGCGAGTGCGAGCATCTGAAAGTGAACCGTTTGTGAAAACAAGTTGGACGCGGTCGGCTCATTCAACATCTCAAGAAGATCCGAAAGAGATCTACGAGGGTGACAACGTGCAGCTTACCTGTACAGTACCGAACGACGAGGACTGGTTGGTTTTGTTGCAGTCTTTAAGTTTGGGCTTACAATTTGATCCCCATCTTGCTTGTCCCCCGGAATAAGCCATACATATGACTTATCTTTGCGACAATTATCATACCCTATATATCCTTTTTCATACTCTAATTTATCGTGAAGTTATTGAAAAACTGCATTTGTCTACTGCACTGTGCTGAGCCCAATATCGTGTGGGCCTGAAAGAAGCCGGTATGAAGTTCAGCACAGCTGGAATGTGTCGTATTGAAATATGGAGTTTAACGGTTGATGGACCTTTCGTCACAACTTTTATTCTTTTCACTCTTTTTCCCTTATTTTCGCTTATTCAGGACTGTACAATGGATATTCCGTGAAAACGTGTTAGGTGACGTCAACAATGAAGTTGATGCTCATTCACGTCATTTGATCGCGAATATCAAGTAAATTTCTATACTATTACTTTTTCCTTATTACAATGTTTTTATACATTGTTCTTATTGGCTTACAATGAAGCGTCAGGGATTGCTTCATGAAGTTTTTTT